TTCGTCCTTTTTTTGTTCTTTCCCTTTGATTCGTTCGAAGACACTGGGATGTGTTTTAGTATCCTCTTCTCCATCATCTATGACCAACTTGAATTTTGGCAACTTGTTCTTGAATCCAGACGTTACCATGTTTACCCCAAGTGGCTGTGGGAAAGGATTCTCGTCCACTGCCATCTTTTTCTTATCATCGAACGTAATTCGTCCTGATTCAATGGCATCCTGCAATACGTGATGGAAAACCAAGCAATTGTGAGTCAAATGTGACCATGCGTTATGCCACTTACAATATTTTTTACCCTTTATTTGTTCAGGGTTTGGCAATTTGTGCTTATCGCTCAGCTTTATTTGCTTATCCCTATATAATTTATCAAATATAAGGTCAGCTTTAGTCACATCGAACGAGAACGTTCTAACCTTTATGTTTCCATCCTTTATGAGCTCATCTTTGCCCGATGGTCTAGGCTTGGCCATTATGGGACAGGTATATATATCCCCTTTTACCAATTCGACCAAACACATTTCGGCCTGATCGTATGATTCGTCGTCGATGGTATGAACGTCAAAATTTGGGTCTCTGTAATAAGTCCCTTTACTGGAATTTTTCATTTGTTCTTCTTCTCTTATCAGTCGCTCATCCCTAATCACATTCGCACTCAACTGGAAAAGGTCAGGAAATTTCTTGTCCTAGAACTTCTTTTTTAAATCAAAGCTCAAGCAGCCTTGTGCGATCTTGACAAATTCTTTTTCGGGTAGAGGTACAAAACACTTGCTTCTTGCTGTTTTGAACCTTTGGAGAAAACTTTCTGCCCATTCATTTGGCATTTGATGTAGATTCGCCAAATCAGCCAAAGTGACTTCAGACTCAGTTTTATAAAACTGAGCGTGAAACAACTGTTCCAGTTGTTGCCATGTTTGAACGGAGTTCGCTGGCAAGTTGATGAACCAGGAGAAAGCTACTCCTGTTAACGAACTAGGAAAAAGTCTCATTTTATGGTAATCTGTTACATCACCACTTTGCAACGTGAATCGCCATATGTGTTCTAGAGTAGACACCTCTCCTAAGCCAGTAAACAGTGAGAATTCTGGCACTTTGTACCCTCTAGGCCATGGATATGCTTGGTCTACCCAATCAGGATATGGCTTTGTATACGTCGGCTTAATGATAGGACGCACCCCAAAAGCCATCTGATCCTGCACGATTTCCATAATCTAGTTCCTCAACATGACATTGGGATCATATGAAATTCCTACAGGCTGATTAACCGGTTGATTTACATGAGGCCTGATGTTTGGTCCTGGATTGGCAACAAAATTACCATAGTTAGGGCCATTACCATTAGCCTGGACATCTGTTCCCTCATTACCACGTGGAATATTCTGTCCATTGTTTAGGACATTATCTCTCACGTTTGGATTACCCCCCAAGTTAGGCATGCCATTACCATTGTTTTGATTTGGCACTGTAGTACCCACCTTGGTTTGAAGTAGAGGGACCAGAAAGCGGTTCTACCCCTTGATTCGGATTTAGGACAGAGGGATTATGTCCCACAATTGTCCTGGTTTGAAAGTGGTTTGTAAGAGGTATAGCCGGTTGACATATTTGGCCTACTAACTTATTCATTGTTTCGTTTAACGTTTTTAGCTGTTTGGCCATATTGTCATAGTGTGCATTTCCATTTTGTGTAAATCTTTCCATATTATGAATACTTCGAAGATTTACCTGTTCAACGACGTCTTGCGTGAGTTCTCCAAGTAATGCACGCATGGTTCGAGGACTCAACTCCGTCATTGGTTCCTAACGACTGTTACTGCTCTGATTTTGTCCATCTTTTCGTGGAGAGGCATGCTGCTCCTCATATCGCTCGATTACAGACTGGATTCCTCCCTGACTTGCTCCTTCCTTGTCGGATCTCTGAGGCATATTGTTTCTCCTTTTGTACTTTCAACACCTAACACCACTGTCCCACTGGGCATTCCAAATTGTTTCACGCGGGTTAAGTCGCTAACAATTAAAAAGGATCAGACGATTGTGTAAGGGACGAAACCTCTTGAGACAAAGTCCCAAAAATGGGTGTTCTTTTATTGGCGATGAACTTTACAATTGGAAATGGAAAACAACGTACCTCCAAGGGGCGCAAGCACACGAGTTACTGAAAGAAAATTGTTTAAGTCTAAAAAACTGAGGAAATGAAAATTACATGTTCTCTGTTCGAGAGTTTTGGATTCGGTCCTTTGCTTCTATTTTCTTTTTCCCTTTTATACTTCATAGACAATCTCTTTGTGATTAACTGCTCTAAAAACTGCTTGATCGTCCTATAACTACCCACTTTCTTCGTAGTGGTCATTTTATCATGAAAACTGCCTTTTAACTGCTGCCATTACCTTTCATCGTTCAACCGCTTTCGATTGAATTCCTTGAGTCGTGGAACGTGATAGGGCTGCTTTAACAATTGCCTTGATAACTGCATTTCTTGATAACCACGACGCGTTATGTCTGTTAATACCTTGGGCGACTTGAAGGTTTGGGCGAGAATAGAATAACAGCTCTGGGCGACCGTATGACACTCTATTCGTTCAAATTCTGGGCGACTTGCAAACTTGAGCGATGGCGTTACAGCATTCTTGGGCCCCCTTATTTGGGCCTTCACCTTGATTTGTTCGATTGGACTTCGTTCTTTGGGCTATCTGATTTGGGGGTCCTCCAATTGGACTTTACTCATTGGGCCGTTCGATTTGGGCTGTATTTTTATGTGTCAACAATTTCAAGTTTAGACTATGCTAATGCCTCAACTTTTGAGAACATAATAACAAGTGTGCAAAAACATATACTTCTTGTATTCATTAAAGGATATAAAACGTGCATGGTCAGTGCGTAACTTCATCTGGTGCACCAACCAAATTAATCGGTACAACTAAATTAGTCAATATGTTGACTATTATACACCGCTAAGAGCAATTGGTAATGGAATAGGAGAAGCAACCGTTCATAAAGGTTTCCGAAATTCTCAATCTTTCTTTTTAGCGAGGAGGAATAGTGGGAAAGGGAGCGATGAAGTCGTTAAAATCTATACTAATTACGAGGTAATTATTGTGTTTCAAAATGGGATATATGCATACATACTTGTATTTTCTTCGTATCTACATGTATTACTATCGTATTAGTTTACAATCATGAGTACAAAATATAATTTTTACGAGTGCTACTACAATTCTATGATCAAACTGCCAAATTGAAGATTTCATAGTTCAAGAGAAGGCACAAGATATGCATAGTGACATTTAACCCTACTTCATCTATTAATAGAAAGGAATAGTTAGGTTAGACCCAGGAGACAACTATACAAGCTCTACGCTGAAGTCGTGAGAGTTCTCGTAAATATATTAGTAGAGAGTTAGGGTGATAGTTTCATTTTGTACTATTGAGTTAGTGTGAGTATTTGGAAAATATATGGTTAAAAGTAGAAAAAAAATTAGATTTACTCGTAAAATTATTTATTCAAAGGACATGTGATTAAAAATGAATTTACGAATAAACAATTTTTTCTATGTTCAGACATAGACATATTATAATGAGTAAGAGTCAACCTTGAAAGTGGAAACCACTATAAAGCACCTCAAGAAACTCTCTATTTGCAAAGAGCATATTCTAACATCTGAAAAACATATATAAATTTAGAGAGTTAAGTACTCTCAACAAGCTCTTTATATTTAACACTTAATTTTATTACTCCCAAAAAATATTTATTATTTTTTCTATCTTTTATTTTAACTAGCTTTTATTTATATTATTCTATTATTTGTCCACATTTAAAATTGAAATACTTTGAATGCGTTTAATTATAGAGAGTGGGTTTGACTCTCTAAATTTGGAGAATTAAACCTACTCTCTAAATTAAAATGTTAATTTAAAGAATATCTTTAAGCATGATTTTAAGATAAAGAGCATCTCATATTTATAAAATCTTGGAGATGTTCTTAGGCCTATTCATTTCATCCAAAGTACAGGTCTCAATGCTGACCAAAGTACAAGCAAATGGGAAAATGTCGATTTTTCAATGAGTAATATGATTTAGGGTCACTGGAAAGTATCACTTAAGTGATATTAAATTATAGACACAATTAAATAAATCATATAATTTTACCTTTAATTGAATTTTTCACATTATGATATTAGACTGATACTCTAATGCTACTTATCCTAGATAGCACTATTCTTTTCCATTATTAAAACAAAAAAATTAAAATAAATAAATAATAATAATAATAATAATAATAATAATAATAATAATAATAATAATAAAGAAAGATAGATAGATAGAAACCCACATATTTGTGCTATTATTATATTTCACATAATTGCATATTCAAAAAATAAAAAATATTATTTATTAATAAATGTGACCGAAATTACAAGCGCACAACGGTCGCTTTATAAGCCGGTTACAACAAATTTGTTGAATTATAAATGCATTTAATTTGTTGCCGACATTTCTGCTAAAGAAAGAAAAAACTTCCTAAAGATGTAACAGTTTAGTTGTTTTATTAATGCACAATAATTAAAATAACATAATTTGCTCTGTATATAATAAGTCAATAATTAATGAATGCGGCCTCTGAACTTCCTTTTAAACACATTACCGTTGGGGGGTCTACATTTCAATTTATAAATTTCCCGTGTGTGTGTATATATATATCATAACTTTTTTTTCACTCTCCATTGTTCTTTGTTAAGGTTTATCAGTGTGTTTAAGAGGAACCAATGTTGTAACCAGTCAAATTCTTCGGCGCTCTCATACGTACGTTCATCAATATCTCTTGTGGGCTCTTTCTAACCATCTAATTGTGTCCCACTTCGCTTGTGAAAGGCTTGCCTTGTGAGTTTGTATAGCACTTTGAGTACTTTTTCCATACAATTGATTTTAAGTGTGAGTTCTATCAAAAGTAGTTGTTACATTCTTATTTTCCTTTTCGGTAAGCATTCTTTTCTCAAATTATTTATACAAGAGTTGATAGTACATGGTTAATATTTTTGCTTATTTTTGTATATTAAACCTGCATTTTTTGGCATTACTTAGCTCTTGCTTTATTATCAAAGACAATAATTTGATGCATGATTCAATTTAGTGACACATAATGGCTATTGTGGGAGAACAGAGACCACTTTCCAGCGTAGAATTCCATGCCTTTCATCGAAAAATGTCACAATCTAGCTTTTGCTTTTACTTTAGCTTTATTGTGAATATTTTTTCATCTTTTGTGTTTTTATTCTCAATGATCCCTTAGATTCCCCATATGGCTCCTGCATAGTGATTCGTGATCAGTACTTGACAGTATAATAAATATGATTTTATTTTTTTATTCTTTATTATTGTTCATTTTAAAATGTCAACTTTATTAAGTTAATCTATGTTTTCATCTTTATTCAACGTGGAATTTTATCCTTTAACATGCCCCAACAAGATAATCACTTGCTTTAACAGATCAATTTTAAAATCCGTGTGCTAGTTTTTTTGAGTCTTAAGATTTGGGGTTTCATCTTAAAAGGCCAACATTATTCAGAGAAGTAATCCAATTCTTTATAAAATGGTTTAGGTTTTTATCTTTATTCGATACAAAATTTTATTAACAATTACAATCTAATACATGTCGCTAAACACACCTTCTGCTGTAAGTTAATTTCCTTTTAGATGCATCATGATAAAGTGACATTCTGCTTTTCCACTTTGATAAAGTCAATAAAGAATATAATGCTTTTAACATTTGTTTAAAATAAGGACCACCCCTAATCTATGGACGCATCAATATTGCAATTATTTATTTTTTGTTGTTTTTGCTTCTGCATAAAGTCTTAAGTCTCTCTACAGTATTTTTATAAATGGGCACCTTCTTTAACTTTCTTAGATGTTCTTGTTAAATTGATTAAGGTTTATTCTTTATGACATTGTTAACGTTATAACATTTTGAATCAGAATTTCTGTCTTAGCAAGAGTCAGAACAGTAGTTTAAATGTATCATTTTGTGACTATAATTACCATGAATCCAATATTTTTGCCTGTGCTCGTGCTGTGTGTTCGTGATAATTTTATTCAAGGCATTTAGCTAATGCGATGCTTCCAAAACTAAATCGAATGGCTCGCCTTTCTTACACGAAAAAGTTTGAAAAGATGACTTTTGTCCAAAAGAGAACCAAACCAATATAGAAGTATGAATTATAATTGAAATTTCGAAAGTTCAAATTCTTATTTCAACCATTTACATCATCTGATTGTTTCCCGGTTCTGGCTGAGGCAATTCTGGTGCCTTTTGGGAGAGCACATTGAAGGAGGTACATGTACTTCTACTTTCATTTAAAAATTGTAAATCAAAAGAGAGTCGGGTATTAGTAATATCAAGCTTGAATATGTCCAAGATTTTTCTTTTGTTTCCTAAGGGGCGATGAGGATGGTACTTTCTTCTTCTCTCTCAGTTAAAAAGAGTGATTTGTGTAGAATCTTGTTTGGAATGCTTCTTTTTCATTCTTAAGTCTCAGTTTCTTGCTTCTGCAATACACTTGAAACAAAATTACATTTTGCAAAGTGTAATTCGCTTTTAAGCGCTTCAGTACTTCTTTCCCCATTTCTCGTTATGAATTATCGCTTTCTCTAGTCTCTAAATTTGTATGTCCTCAATAGATGCTTCTTTTAAGTCGCTGTTCCTTCTCCAGGATAGAACAAGAACTGGAAAAGCTGCTGGGATCAAATTCAACTAAAACTTTCATTTAAAAATTGTAAATCAAAAGAGAGTAGGGTATTAGTAATATCAAGCTTGAATATGTCCATGATTTTTCTTTTGTTTCCTAAGGGGCGATGAGGATGGTACTTTCTTCTTCTCTATCAGTTAAAAAGAGTGATTTGTGTAGAATCTTGTTTGAAATGCTTCTTTTTCATTCTTAAGTCTCGTTTCTTGCTTCTGCAATACACTTGAAACAAAATTACATTTTGCAAAGTGTAATTCGCTTTTAAGCGCTTCAGTACTTCTTTCCCCATTGCTCGTTATGAATTATCGCTTTCTCTAGTCTCTAAATTTGTATGTCCTCAATAGATGCTTCTTTTAAGTCGCTGTTCCTTCTCCAGGATAGAACAAGAACTGGAAAAGCTGCTGGGATCAAATTCAACTACTTTGTGTTATCTGCAACATTCTACAAAATGAAACTCCTGTTTTTTGTGGCGGCTGTTGCAAATCTCTTTCTGTTATTACCGAATTTTCAACAGATTATTGCTGATCTTGATTCAGACAGGAGGGCTCTACTTGACTTTGCTGATGCTGTCCCACATATTCGAAAGCTTAACTGGAATGCTAATGTCCCGATATGCTCTTCTTGGGTTGGCATAATTTGCAACAAGGATGGAACTAGAGTGCGTGAAATCCATCTTCCGGGGATTGGGCTCAATGGATTGTTCCCGGCGAAAACTATTGGAAAACTCGATGGTCTTAGGGTCCTTAGCCTTCGATCTAACCATCTCACAGGAAGTCTTCCTTCTGATATCCTTTCCATTCCTTCCCTCCAATCCATCAACCTTCAACACAATAACTTCTCTGGTGATGTCCCTCCTACCCTCTCTCCTCAACTTAGTGTAGTAGACCTATCCTTCAACTCTTTCACGGGGTCAGTTCCATCCACAGTTAAGAACTTAAAGAGATTATCTACGTTAAATCTCCAGTTCAATTCGTTCTCCGGAGGCGTCCCCAATCTTGATCTCCCAAGGCTCAAGAGTTTGAATTTGAGCCATAACTTGCTAAATGGCTCAATTCCATTTTCCCTACAGAAGTTTCCGATTTCATCCTTCATAGGAAACTCTCATTTATGTGGTCCACCACTGAATTCTTGCTCTACACTATCTCCATCACCTTCCCCTTCGATTGATAATTTTTCTCCTACAATTTCTGGAAGACATAATGCTTCTCACTCGAAAAAACTTAATTCAGGAGCTATCATTGCTATTGCAATTGGTGGCTGTTCAATATTACTTCTTCTAATTTTGGTGATCTCGTTCTTCTGTCGGAAGAAGAAAGATAGGGGCATAAGTGTGACAAAAGCTAAGGCCTCTAGCGGTGGAAAGAATGAAAATTTGAAGTCTGAAGATTTTGGAAGTGGAGTACAAGGAGCTGAGAAGAACAAGCTTATATTCTTTGAAGGTTGCTCTCATAGCTTTGATCTCGAAGACTTGTTGAGGGCATCAGCTGAAGTACTTGGGAAGGGCAGTTATGGTACAGCTTACAAAGCTGTTCTAGACGAGGCAACTGTAGTAGTGGTGAAACGTCTAAGGGAAGTTGAGGTTGGAAAGAAGGAATTTGAACAGCAGATGGAGATCTTGGATAGAATTGGTCGGCACCCTAACATTGTGCCAGTTCGTGCTTATTATTATTCCAAAGATGAAAAGCTTCTCGTCTGGGAATACATGCCTGCTGGTAGTTTGTCTGCAGCCTTGCACGGTATGCTTTCCTCTTGTTTTTCCTTGTTCTGTTGGATTGTGTAGAGCTTTATTATACTGTTCACTATTCCCTTTATTACGGAAACACCCTTTATTCCTATCCTACATAAAGGAGTTTGAGCCTTGAGAATTGAGATAGACAAAAACATAGAGGTGTGAGATCTTCCCAAACTTGTTCTTTTAGATTTTAACGAAAATCTGCATTTTCAAGTAGAATTAGGTCTTAGCTTTACATCAGGAGTGAACAACTATAAAATCTTTGTGTTTCTGCATGATCAACCCTAACTGTTTCATTCAACTATGATCTCCATAATCATTGAGAAATCATCAAGTATAATGATACCCCTTAACTTATTCTGTATGATGAACCACAATAGGTAACCGAGACACTGGAAGAACTCCATTAGATTGGGATTCCAGGCTGAAGATTTCACTTGGAGCAGCAAACGGAATTGCCTATATCCATTCTGAAGGTGGTGCTAAATTCATTCATGGCAACATAAAGTCCTCGAACATACTCCTCAACCAAGATCTTGATGGCCGTGTTTCTGATTTTGGATTAAGCCCTCTGATGAATTCTTATGCTATCAAATATCGAGGTACTGGCTATCGAGCTCCAGAAGTGATTGAAACGCAAAAAATCACTCAAAAATCTGATGTCTACAGCTTTGGAGTAGTCTTACTTGAAATGCTCACAGGCAAATCCCCTATTCAATCTTCGGGCTACAACGATGTTGTTGATCTACCTAGGTGGGTGAGGTCCGTTGTTCGCGAGGAATGGACAGCTGAAGTTTTTGACGTGGAGCTGACCAAGTACCCTAACATTGAAGAAGAGTTGGTGCAAATGCTTCAGATTGCTTTTGCGTGCGTGGCAGAACTACCAGATATGCGACCAAATATGGACGATGTAGTTAGAATGATTGAGGATATTCAACAATCTAAACTTGAGAACAGACCGTCATCTGAGGACAATATGTCGAAGGAATCCAAAGTGCAAACACCAGAATAATATGAGCTTTTAGCTTATACTTTGATTCTTGAATCAACTTCAATAATTTGTTGTGCATCACCTTGGCTCATGTAATCGTTTGCAAATTTCTGGCCATCAATTATCTCTTCACATTAAGATTAGCCTCATGCTTCCAATTTTTTGCCCTTGTTTGTTCCTCTTCACATTTAAGCCATTATTTGACTTTTCACTTTACAAATTTTGGAACTTTGAACTGGATATTAACAAACCCAATATTGTTTAGATTATAATTCAGAAGTCCCATTACTAGTAAGATCCATACGTTGCAAACTATCCAAGTTCTCTAACGTGCTGGCACTTAAGCTGGACTTAACTGGATATTAAGTAAACCGTCAGAGATCGAGCTTCATTATATCTTCGAAAGCAATTGCCTGAACCCAAATGTACACCATAATTTGTGAGGGACGCAAATAACACATTTATAAGGAAAGTGATGGTGTAACTCGAATTGAAGTCCATCTCGATCCTTTGATCGTGAAATCAACACATTTTCTGACGTGGAACACGTTAAAAGAGGTAGAAATAAACAACGCATCTTTAGGTCTTCTTCTAGATATATATAGTAATCAATCGAATAGCTCACAATTATTGAAGGTTAGGCACGGAAAAATCTGAATACTGTTTCTAATCTCTCCATGACTAGACAATTATGTAACATTTTTCATTTTTCTCATCTTTTCTTGAGTAAATTGACAAAAAAATCCCAAGCTCAATGTCAATTAGTCTTATATGCCACAAGGGCAATTTTGGTATTCCAGCATTTTTCAAAATTTGGTTAACCAACGACAAATAAACGGCTTTTGTCCAATATTATCAAAACTTTCCATAATTGTTCAAATTTCCGCATTTTTATCCATCTGCGGATCTTTGCTCCAACACCCCCACCCTCTCCCCCAAAAATTTTGCATTATCGAAAGCTTCCACTTCACTAGATCTTAAGGTAAATTTTTTTCAATCCATTTCTTTAATAATATGATCTGCCACAAACATTGGATTGGATTTTGATATGTTTAATTTTTTGTTCAACTATTTTCCTGCAAACCGATAGTATAGAGATTTGTGAATATTAAAGGGTGATTGTGAGGTTGGTTGAAGAATTACGGAAAACATAGAGATGCAACGGGATGTTTTCTTGATTATATTAATTGGAAATGGAATCCCGTTTTGGTTTTCTTGACTAGTGGATTGCTCATTTGGAACGGTTCGGGGACAACTTACAAGAAGCTGCAATTCCCCTTTTCCTTGGGGGCGGCCGGGGAGTGGGGTGGTTGTCATTTTGAATAAAAGGCGTAGTTGGGTCTCGATTCTTTTAGAATGCCGTAAAGTTGTAGCGGGGTTTTTGCCCGATTCTATTAGATTACAAACAAGTTGTAGAAGGTTGTCATTTTGCCAAAACTGCGTATTTGAGTCTTATTTCTATTAGACTACAAGCAAGCTGTAGAATGGTTGTCATCTAGATTCTTGAATTGCAAACGAGTTGTGATTGGTTGTCGTTTTTTACTCTAAAAGGTATCACTGATCTTGATTTCTTAGATTGCGAACAAATTGTGAAGTTTGTCCATTGTCATAGTCAACTTCAGAGGTTTCAATAACTGTCTAAGAAGAATTGCAGGAGAAGAGAGACTTGATGATATCTCAAAGCCATGATGGTGCACACAAATCTACCAGTGAAGCATGAAATTGGAATAGATTTCTATCACGTACATTTCTTCCTTGAAGTAGTAAATGAGAATTTAATGAAATTTGCAGGAAGCATCGTGAAACAATGTTATTGTGCATTTGCGTTAATCGGGACAATTAGGTGGAAGAAAAGTATACAAGATTAGACTGAGGTGGATGAACCATAAAATTCTAAAGAGGTTGTTTCATATTATTGGGCTGTGATGCCAAATATTCTTGGGTGTCCAGCCCATTTGGGCAATGTTGATATGAATTAGTCCAACAGATACTACCCAACCCATTGTTCAATAACTCAATGTTGAAAGCTGCTGAAACCCGGCCCAAACTTAACAACCTACGTGTGTCGCTCTGGACCCCTTGATCTACTAAACCTAACATCTACGGTGATGACCCATTATGATATATACACGGTCTAAGTTTGTTTGACCCTAATTCGAGTCATTCTTTCTTGCGCCTCTTCGTGATATTTTCTGTGGAACCTACTGGGTCTCTCTCTTCGTGACTTTGTGTCTCTACCTCTTCTTCTTCTTCGTGAATCTTGTGATTTAGCCATTAAACCTCTAGTTTTCTGGAAGTACTATGTGCTTAGAGTCTTAGTGATTCTTCGGTTGTGGTTTGTGAAGAGTTTCCCATTTGTGTTTGAGTGATTTGGGTCTATTGAAGCGACTGCCTCTGTGTTGTGGTTTAGGACTGTGGTTTATAAGTTTTTCACATTGTACAGACGGGTACAATGCGTGATCTGAGCCCGAATCAATGATAAACTTGATGCCTTTGGTTTAAGTTGTGTTCGGTCATTTGTTGAGTCGATTTTGGGTCTATTCTTGTGACAGTGGTATCAGAGCCTCTTTAGGCCGTTCGAGTCCCTGTCTCCAACGTCCGATCGTGAGAAATTAATTTTCACGTCTGGATTTATTGAGAGACGAACAGTCGACTGGAACCCTAGATCTGTTCGGCTACAGATCTTGACTCGGTTTATGATTTCTTGCTTTTTCTTGGTGAACTAACAGTTGTTGTTGGTGGTTCTTGCATAAAACATTGAGTTCGAATTATTCTTGGTGAACTGACTCGAAAATAATTGGGCCTCCTTTGTGATTCTCGATCTGCCGGTCGAATCTTTAAAGTCTCTTAAGTCCTTTTAATTGTAATACATGATTTACTGCTGAGTGTCATGAAATTGCGTATTTTCTTTCGTTGAAAGTGTTCTGAAATTTTGGAATAATAATCTATAAGTGTTTAATCTTCGTGATTCATTCCTGATTTCAGTATAAAGTCTATCGATTAATCTTTGTGATTAATTCTTGATCCCTGTAGTCTGCATGTTATTCAATCTTTGTGATTGTTAATTGACAATTTGTCTTTAACCCTGTACACTTTGCACTGCACTACTGTGTATTTTGATTTGAGCCTTGACCTGAGGTCTTTGAGCCTCACAGAATCCTGGCAAACCCAAGACACAACACTGTATTTTGAAGTGATTTTTTTTTATTCCTCTGATTGGGTTACTGTTTTTGTTACTGTTCACTGTATTATATCCCCTGATATTTTTTCATACTGTGTGTGATACTTTGTGTTGTCATACATCCTGTGAAATATCTTCTTGTTCCTTCTGGCTGAACTTTAACCCTCAAAGTTTTTATTGTGTTGATTAAAAAACTCCAAATGACAACGGGAACGTTTGAACTTGGGATTTTTAATGGAAAAGGGGATTTCCCCATTTCGCAGCAAAAAATGAGGGGGGTCTTGTTCAACAGAAAATGTCTAAAGCTATAACTGGTGAATATCGTGATACTATGACTGATGAACACAAGACTGAATCTAATGATCCTGCCTATACTTCCATTATTCTTCACTTGTCTGATCCAGTATTAAGAAAGGTTGGAAAATTGGATAATGCAAAAGTCTTATGGGATAAATTTGAGGAACTTTATTTGGTAAAATCATTGCTAAATAAACAATTTCTGTTGGAAAAATTTTTCAGCTTCAAAATTGATATGTCCCAAGACTTAGACGATAATCTTAACAATTTTAATAAACTGGTACAAGATATAACTAATGCTGGGAATAAAGTATCTGAAGAATATAAGGGTGTAATTTTGTTAAATTCCATACCTGATGTATATGAAGATGTTAAAACAGTTATTAAGTATGGCAGAGAGTCTTTAACACTTGAGATAGTGATTAATGCTTTAAGAAGCAAAGATTTGAAAGTTAGATGTGAGAGACATGGCAAGAAAAGTGAGAACCTATTTGTAAGAGGTAGATCACTGACAAGATCTAGTAATAATCAGGATAACCAAAGTAATCGGTGAAATAATGCCTTTAGAAAGAAGGGAAAGGGTAGACAAATGTCAAAATCTAGAAATGGTGCTAGGAAATGTTATGGTTGTGGCAAAACAGGACATTACATCAAAGACTGTTTTAAAAGAAAAAATGAGCAAAGAGAGGTTAAAATTGATGAAGGGAATATTGTTGAGCCTCTAGGTGAGGGTACTGTTGATGTCTATGTTGTGACTGAGTCCACATCTGATTTGAACTCTGTAAATTATACAGATAACTCAAGTCAGAGTGTAGAATGGATCTTAGATTCAGGTTGTACCTTTCATATGACCTCTAAAAAGCATTGGTTGCTTGATTTTAAGGACTTAGATGGAGGTGAGGTTGTTATGGGTAACAATGCAACCTGTAAAGTGATGGGGATAGGCAGTGTGACTTTAAAATTCGATAATGGGTACACCTTTACCTTGGAAAAGGTGAGGTATGTACCAGATTTAAATAGAAATCTAATTTCAGTTGGGAACTTAGATAACATAGGTCTCCAAGGAAATTTTGGAGATGGTTTCTTGAAAATAGTTAAGAGATCCTTGGTTATTTTCAAGGGCATTAAAATAAATGGTATCTATGTCACTAAGGCTAATGTTTTGAGTCACACTACAGAATCCTCTATGGCTGAGAGTGATGCTACATTGAAATGGCATAATACGTTAGCCCATGTGAGTGAGAAAGGTTTACACATCTTAAGTCAAAAGGGTGCCTTTGGTAGTGATGTGATTTCTAAAATTCCCTTTTGTGAATATTGTACCTTAGGCAAACAACATAGATTTCACTTTAGTAGAGGGAAACATAAGACTACATCTATCCTAGAGTATATACATTTTGATTTGTGGGGTCCATCATCTACCACCTCTCAAGGTGGGAATAGATATTTTTTATCCTTAATTGATGATTTTTCAAGAAAAGTATGGGTATTTCTTTTGAAACAAAAATCAGACACTTTTGAAAAATTTAAAAGTTGGAAAACTTTGATTGAAAATCAAATGGATAAAAAGATTAAAATTCTAAGGACAAATAATGGATTAGAATTTTGTAATACTGATTTTGAAAAATTGTATATGGATGATGGCATTCTAAGACATAAAACAGTACCATATACTCCACAATAGAATGGTAAAGTTGAAAGGATGAA